CCCCAGCACCACCTCCTCACGGCAGCCCTGAGCTGGGTCAGGGCCCCCTCTCATGCCCCAGCTCCTGCATTCACTGTCACCCTGGTTGCCTGACCCCTGCACACATTTGTGTCTCCACCAGCTGGGATGGGGGAGGGGCCCCAGAGGAAGGGCCATGGCTATGTCAGCACAGGGCCAGGCACAGATGACCCGTGACGTGTTTGTTGAATGAGTGGTATTTTGTCGCTTTCTCTAAAAGCTGAAACCAAAGTAAAAAGTTACAAAGCTCAAAGCCTGGTGTAAGTCAGAGGTCTGAGGCTTGTTTGACCTCTCAACTGGCACAAAATGCGTATCAGCCACAAAACTTCTGAGGGGGATTCTCTGGCCCCTCTGCCAGAGCTGGACCCTTGGATATGACCTCACAACACAGGTCCCCCCGCCCTGGACCCAGTAGGTGAGAAGGCAAATTTCCAATCAAAAGGGCTTCTGGCTCAGAGACCTCAGTGTGGAGTGAGTAGACCCAAGGATGTCTTAGGAAGGCAAGAGCAGAGGCCAGAGCGTGAGGGCCAGCCGGGGGCGGGTGGCTCGTGGGTGCATCTCCCCAGAGTTTTCAGAATGGAAAGGGGCAAGGGTGTGTGTGGGGGGCGGTGTTGGGTGGGGAGGATGCCTGCCGAACCAGGAGGTGGGATGAGAGTACAGCTGCCGGGCCTGAGGTCCACTCCTCCAGGCAAGTCTGTGTTGCTGACCGGGCTCTCTGAGAAGATGGCTGATATGTTTAGGCCCCACTAGCTGTTCTCACTCTAACTGTAGGGAAGACCCAAGACTTCAGTGGTGCAAGGCTATGATTGATACCATGTGCTTGACAGCAGCTGGAGAAATGGCCTGGACCTGGCCAAGCAGGGAATCTGGGAGATTCTTGGCCCTCAGAGCAGAAAAGAAGGGGAGGGAGAGCAGGAGGGGGGGAAAGGGTAGTTTCCTCACACCCCCCACATTTATCCTGCCCCTGCACACGGTCCTTGTGGGGGCTTGGGGGAGGCATGTGGAGGGATGAGCTATTCCGCAGGGGCTCTGTCCGGCTAGGATGCTGGGGCTCCAGGGAGGAGAGGATGAGCAGGAGAGAATGGAGAGGAGGCGAGAAGAGCAGGGAGCTGGAGGTGAGGGGAGGAGGGGCAGGAAAAATGAAAACCCAGCCTGTTGGTGGTTTCTTCTTTTTTTAAGAGCCACAAGCTGAGATCAAAGGTGATATTTTTACAGCAACTGAAATAGAAAACCACCGGGCACACAGTGGGAGGTGAGCAGCCGGAACACAGGCTCCTTTATGCAGCCTGTGGCCACGGCAAGCCCGCTGCCCTCTGCAGAGAGCCACGGGGTGTGGGGGACAGTGTGGCCTTGATCTTCCGAACTCAGGTTCAAGAAAGAAGCAGAGGCAGTGAGCTCCAGCCCTCAGTGCTGGAGGAGAGGGACGCGGTGAAAGATGGTCATGAGCACGGCGCCTGACACCTCCCACCGAGACCCTCCCCTCATCATTCCACTGTGGGCATCAGAGCTGTGCTAGGCCCTGTCCCGTCCTCACAGATCCCCATCGTAAGGCGGGATAATCCTCACCCCTGCTTTACAGAGGAGAAAACCAAGGCTGCAAGAGAAAGATGACTTGGTCAAGTCCCCCAGAGAGTTGGGAGCAAATTTAGGACTAGGACCCCAGGGCTCCTGGTCTGACACTCTTTTTGCTCTCTGTCCTGACTCACTCACATGGCAAATTTTTATTATTTTTATCCTCACCCGAGGACACTTTTGCATTTATCCTCAGGTAGAGCGGGAGGGAGGGAGGGAGGGAGGGAGGGAGGGAGGAAGAGAGAGAGAGAGATCGATGCAAGAGAGACACATCGACTGGTTGCCACCCGCACGACCCCAGCCAGGGCCAGGGATAAATTGCAACTGAGGTACGTGCCCTTAGCGGGAACTGAACCCGGAACTCTCCGGTCTGCGGGCCAGTGTTCTAACGACTGAACCAAACTGGCCAGGGCCATGCCAAGTTATTGATTGAGCTTCTGCTACTACTGGTCCTCCTAGTTAACCTGGCAGAAGGGGCCACACTCAGGTCTACGGGGCACTGTTTCTCAAAGTGTGGTCACTGGACCGCCAGTAGCAGCCTCACCTGGGAATATACTAGAAATGCAGATTCTCAGACCCAGCCCAGACTCAGGAGCCAGAAATGCTGGGAGTGGACCTAGCCCTCATATTTTAATGAACTCTCTAGGTGATCCCACTGCACACTAAACCTGAGAATCACTGTACTGCATCACCTCAGTTTCCACACATGTGCTTCAGGAGAAAGTACAACACCCATCGGAGAAGGTTGAGTGAGCCCAGTGTCAGCTAACGTGCTGGGTGTGTGCCCTGTGCCAGGCATCCTTCTAAGCCCTTTACCAATATAACTGATTTAACTTCATAACTCTATACGGTAGGAACTAACATTACCTTCATTTCACAGATGAGGAAATGAAGGCACAGAGAGGTAAAGTAACTTGCCCAGGGTCACACAGCTAGCAAGTGGCAGAGCTATGGAATCTAAGCTCTTAACAGCTAACCAACAGTAAGCCCCCAGCAGAGGGTCTGGTTCCTAGAATGTGTGCCAGGCATAGCTGAGGAGGCGATGATATATCATAGTATTACTTCACCTGAATTTGAGATGACCCCATTTTGTAAATGTGAAATCTGTGACCTTGTCAACACAGGGATCGAGCAGTGCAGCTGACTAGCTGCAGAGGCAGCCTCAGTGTCTGAAAGCCCGGGGAGCACGCAGGTCCTCACCGTTCGTGCACATTTGAGACCACAGTAAACCATTTTGGTCTTCTGGGAACGTCCCAGTTTGGTGTGGGGTAGAGTATAGGCTCTGACAGGTGTGCGTTGGACCCCTAGTTTGGCCGCTCAGGGGCAGTGTGGCCTGGGACAAGTCACCTCACCTCTCTGGACCTTCTTTTCCTTATCTGTGAAGTGGATGAGGACAGTCTTAACCTTGCAGGGTTCTAGTGGAGGTTGGAGAAGGATGACGTTTGTGTCCAGCCCAGAGCATGCACAGAGCTGGCCATCAACAAGCGGCTTGCCCCGTTCTTTCCTCCCTCCCTGCTGAGACCTCAGTGGAAAGACCAGCTCTGGACCCAGGGTGGTTTTGAAAGAAACAGAAATAAGTTCCCAAATGATCGAAATGCATTTGTTCTCCAGCTTTTCCTGATTTTTTCTTTTTCAGATTTCCTTGAAGTAGCCTCCCTGGCCGGGGTTTCTGGGGTGAGACACTGGCACCTGCTGCCCCCAAGCCGGGAGTTAGGTGACCTGAGAAGGGAAGAGTAGGTGTCCTCCCTGTGCCACCACCACTGGCCAGGCGTCAGCAATCAGCGTGAGCATCTGAGCATTTGCCTGCCTCGAGGCAGCTTGGCCTGGACATCTGAAGCACGTTAGCTGCCTCGTCCCCAGGGGCTGGCCCTGCTTCAAGAATTATCCCAGACAGAGCCACCGAGGATGATGCAAACAAAGACCAGGTGAGGTATGGCCACAAAAGTAGGGGAGCATAGTCTCTGGAGCAGCCTCTGGGGACCCCCACAGAGCAGAGGAGGCTGGGAGAAAGCCCAGGCCTGGGCCAGCCCCACCCAGCCATGGGCTCCCTGGCTATGCAAACTGGAGCTGGAGGATGGAAGGGGGTCTCTTTCTCTCTTTGGGCCTCAGTTTCCCCATGTGTGCATTGGAGGAGGGAGGAGCAAGCAAAGCATACCCTGAGGGCCTTCCAGCCCTGCCCTAGAATTACAGGGCCCCAGGCTGACCTGGAATTCCCTGCGTCTGAGTTGTAGCCCATTGCCGGCGGGAGGTGAGTGGCGGGTGGTGGGAGAGAATTCGGGGATGGAGAGCCATGCTCCCTCGTTCATGCCTGGACATCAGAGGAGAGCTGAGAGGGGAAGGCCAGAAAGGGACGCTGAGTTTCAGAACAGTCAGCGAGGTGCCCCCTCGGTGACCACAGGGGGCAGAGACAGTCCCTCCCAGAGCCTGGGCTGCAGCTGGGTGGCTGCTGAGATCAAGGCACCCTCCCTGTGGGCCCGCCACGCCACCCTGCTGTCTAGATGGGCCGCAGCTACCCGTCACTCAGCAATTTCTATGGACTTCTTATTCTATGGCAGGCACTGTTCTAACTGCTGTACTCATACTGAAATCATTTAACCCTTTCACTGGATGGCAGGTCCTGGGTGATTGACCAGCCTGGAGTCTGGCTCTCATTTGGCAGGTTCTGACATTGGCCTTTCTCAAGACAGCCAGAGAGGTCACACAGGCTGACCCTACCCATGTCACTCAAGATCGACGCCTCCTCCCAACACTCTTATAACCGACACAGGACAATCTCCCTTTCCATTGGCAGGAGTGCTCTTGTCCCCACCCCATCCCCCACCCCCGCCTACCTCCCCCTTTCTCTCCTGGGAGCCGAATCTCTGGGAAGCTGCTGCCTGGTGGGCTGGAGCCTGAGCAAAGGGGCGAGGAGGGCTAGTGCAGAGGGTTTTTCGCAGCCCTTGTGAAGTCTGATAAACCATCTCCACTCCTGGCAGAGAGACACTCTGTGGGGACTGGGATAGATGCGTACCTCAGACAGTTCCTACCTTCTGGACAGTGTTGGACATGCACACGGCCCAAGTGGGCTTCTCTGAACCTTGGCTTTTCTCTGGACGTCTCACGCCTGAGTCGCTGTGTCTTTCTTTGGACGGTTAACATCTCTGATGACCAGGCTGGAGAGCTGTACTCGGAGCCTTTCCATTCATTCACTTCTCACAGGGCGAGCTGATGACTGGCGTTTCCAAGAAAGGGACAGAGGTGGGGATCTGACCAAGTTCAACCAGCCAGTCAGGACTGAGACAGCCTGGATTCCCAGACAAGTCCCAATTAAGCAGTTTATCACTTTCAAATATGAAAAATGAATTGCATAACTGCAGAACAATTGGAAAGTAGAGATATGCAACAGCAAAAATAAATATGCTTTTGGTTTGTTTCTCAGAGAAACTTCCACGGCCCTTCCCCACCCCTCTCTCCCCCTGGGCCTCAGCCACACTCCCCCAGCCCCAGCCATAATCAATACCTCCCCTTCTTTTGCCAACAGCTGTTCCCTGAGGAATGAGCCTTGAGCGCAGATCCTGGAAGACAGCCCTAGACCGGATTCTGGAGAGGCCTGGCGTCTCTTTCAGAACAGCAGAGCTTCCGCTCCAACGAAACTGTTTAAGTAAGTGCGGGATATGGTAGGAAATTCTACTGGCCCGGAGTGAGTCCGGAGCCCACATCCAGCCCTGCCTGGCCTGTGGACTGACCGTGTGACCTTAGGCCGGTCCCTGCCCTCTCCGTTGCTCCCACTGTACAGTGAAGACTTGGACTTGACCGAGTGGTTTCCCCTCAGCCTATGCCAATCTGTTGGCTTCTCTTGGGCAAGGACCACGCCTTCTCCTCTTCACCGAACCGTAGAATTTAGAATCACAGGGCAGGATTCAAGCTCTCCAAGACCATTGCTCCCTACCTGTGTGACCCTGGGAAGGGCACATACCACTCTGCGCTCTGCTCCACTGTGGAAAGACACAGATAAGAGTATTCGTCCCCTGTGTCTCAGGGCTGCCATAGATCCCATGGGAGGTGGATCTTTAAGACCTCTGGAAGACAGCGGGGTACTCTACTGGGCTATTACCTGGGGGTGGCCCCTGCCTGCTCAGTGCCTGGCTTCATCCTGGCTCAGGGGGTCGGGCCCCAGCTTCTCGATGGAGCCATTGCCTGCCCATGGGCTCACCAAGCCTGGCAGGTGGGTGGACCCTGTGCCCAGCCCACCGTGTGAAGTGTCGGTAATGTTGCTTCGGGGCCCCTGACAACATGAAGAGCAATTGCCATGTTGGAGCTCGCGCACACACAGAGCTAAGGCCGTGTTGGAGCTCGCACCCACACAGAGCTAAGGCCGTGTTGGAGCTCGCACCCACACAGAGCTAGGGCCGTGTTGGAGCTCGCGCACACACAGAGCTAGGGCCGTGTTGGAGCTCGCGCACGCACAGACGTAGGGCCGTGTTGGAGCTCGCGCACACACAGAGCTAGGGCCGTGTTGGAGCTCGCGCACGCACAGACCTAGGGCCGTGTTGGAGCTCGCGCACGCACAGAGCTAGGGCCGTGTTGGAGCTCGCGCACGCACAGACCTAGGGCCGTGTTGGAGCTCGCGCACACACAGACCTAGGGCCGTGTTGGAGCTCGCGCACGCACAGACGTAGGGCCGTGTTGGAGCTCGCGCACGCACAGACCTAGGGCCGTGTTGGAGCTCGCGCACGCACAGACCTAGGGCCGTGTTGGAGCTCGCGCACGCACAGACCTAGGGCCGTGTTGGAGCTCGCGCACGCACAGAGCTAGGGCCGTGTTGGAGCTCGCGCACGCACAGACCTAGGGCCGTGTTGGAGCTCGCGCACGCACAGACCTAGGGCCGTGTTGGAGCTCGCGCACGCACAGACGTAGGGCCGTGTTGGAGCTCGCGCACGCACAGAGCTAGGGCCGTGTTGGAGCTCGCGCACGCACAGACCTAGGGCCGTGTTGGAGCTCGCGCACACACAGAGCTAGGGCCGTGTTGGAGCTCGCGCACACACAGAGCTAAGGTCGTTTTAAAAAGAGCACTGTCTTTTTTCTTCTCTTTCTTTTCCCATTTTGGCTGAGGCATGGAATGTGGAAGCTGCTGAATTACTGCAGGAGGAAGTAGAGGCTGGACTCATTGGCTGACTCTGCCTTCTGAGCTCCTACAAACAATGGCAACCCAGGTGGTCTGGCCCCTGCTTCCCCAGGCCCATCTGGACCCACTCCAGGCTCCCTGGCAGCTCCAAGAGGGAGGGGACAATAGTGGCCTGCTTCTGGTTCCCAGACGGCCTCTTTGGATCCCAGTTTACCATGTGTTGTGTCTCCCCCCAGATTTATATGTTGAGCCCTACTTTCCATTGTGATGACACTTGGGGGTATTAGGTTTAGGTGGGTCAGGAGGGTGGGGCCGCCACAATGGCTTAGTGTTGTTATGAGAAGAGGAGGCGAGACCCCCGGTCTCTCTGCACAGAGGTCCGTGACACACAGCGAGGTGGCGGCCCTCCGCAAGCTGGGAAGCGGGCTCTCACCACGAACGAATCTGCCAGCGCCTTGACCTTGGACTTCTCAGCCTTTGGAACTGTGGGAAATAAATGTCTGTGGTTTAAGCCACCCAGTCTATGGTATTTTGTCATAGCAGCCTGAGGGGACTGAGACATGTGTGTGAAACAGGCATAAAAACTCCTCTCCTGGCTACTGCTGATCAGAATAAAATGCAATGACAGCTAACCGTTCATTTAGTCATACGTTCATTCAACCAAAGCAGGCAGAAATCCCTGCCCTTAAGGAGCTGACATTCTAATAGTGGGGGAGGCAGTAAGCAGATGAAGACGCGCAGGATACGGAACATCCCATGGGTGATGGTAAGTGCTACAGAGGAAAAGTCCACCTGGAGGGAGGACTCATGCCCGCAGGGTGGGGCCTGTTTGCACTTTTAAATAGGGTGGTCTGGGCAGGCCTCCCTGAGAAGGGGACCTTTGGGGGTGCTGAAGAAAGTGAGAGGAGGACATGTAGACACTTGGGGGAAAGGCATCCCCAGTTTTGAAAGGACTCTGGCTATGGTGGGAAGCGAGGTATAAGTTGGAAATGATTTTTAGGTGTGTCTCCTGTGCCTCAAGAGCCCCCAGCAACGTTCTGGGCAAGGGCAGGCTCTGGACAATGAAGGGTGGGCAAGGTACAGCTTATCTTACCTGTTGGACTGGGTTTAACAGGCCTTCGCTAAGTAGCTCGATCCTGCAGCCCAACTGAGAAGAGTGGGTGTCAGGAGGCCTGAGCTCAGCCCTGGCTCTACCCCTGGCTCTACCCCTGGCTGACAATGTGACATTAGAAAAGGCATTGCCTTCTCTGGGCATCAGTTTCCCTATCTTTAAAATCAGATGGTCAGCGCTGGCTGGGAAGCTCAGTTGGTTAGAGCATCATCCTGATATGCCAAGGTTGCAGGTTCGCTCTCCAGTCAGGGCACATACAATAAGCAACCAAACAATGCACGGAGGAGTGGAATAACAAATTAATGTTTCTCTCTCTCTCTTCACCCCCTTCCTCTCTTTCTAAAATCAATCAATCAATCAATCAATCAATCAATCAATCAATTTAAAAAAAAAAAAAGAAAGAAAGAAGCCAGCCCTGGCCGGTTTGGCTCAGCGGTTAGAGCGTAGGCCTGCAGTCCGGAGAGACCCGGGTTCAGTTCCCGCTAAGGGCACGTACCTCGGTTGCAGTTTGTCCCCGGCCCTGGTTGGTCGTGCGGGTGGCAGCCACTCGATGTGTCCCTTTCACATCGATGTTTCTCTCTCTCTCTCTTACTCTCTCTCCCTCCCACTCTACCTGTACAAAAAATAGAAAAATGTCCTTGCGTGAGGATGAAAAAAAAAAAAAAAACCAGTGGTTTCTAGGGGCTGAGAGGAGGAGAAAAAGAGTCTTGACTGCTATTGGGTATAGGGTTTCTTTTGGGGTGGGAGGTTGAGGAAAATGCTCTGGAAATAGATAGTAATAATGGCTGCACAATTTTGTGAAATACTAAAATTCACTGAATGGTGCACTTAAAAAAATTTTTATTAAAAAGGTAGTTGGTTAGATGAGATGACCTCCAAAAGAGGGAACACTAGACCTGGCTGGTTTGGCTCAGCAGTTACAGTGTTGGCCCACGGACTGAATGGTTGTGGGCTTGGTTTCCAGGCATGGGCACCTGCCTGGGTTGCAGGTTCGATCCCCAGCTGTTCGGGCCGATCGATTCCTCTCCTTCTTGCCATCCCTCCCTTCCACTCTATTTAAAAATATCAGTGGAAAAATATCCTCGGGAGAAGATTAACAAAAAATAAATAAAAGAAAAGGCACTAATATTTTTTGTATCTACAGTACCCAGGGCCTGGGCTCAGCATTTATATTTTATCTCATGGTCTCTCAGGTTCCTACCAGTTGACACTTTCTGTGATCCACTACGAGGATATTCACCACGTGATCAGTCATCAGTAAGTCTAACTTGAGCCCCTCCTTCAGGCCACAGCTAGTACAGGGACTGCTCTAGGAGCTGGGGTGTGGCAGTGAACCAGAGAGACTAGTACAGGGACTGGGGAAGAGAAGAGGCAGAAATGCAGTCTCCCTGCAGGAGCTCAGAGCCCGTGAAGAAACCAGAAGTGCACACAGTACCCAGGAGGTTCTTTTCTTTTTTTAAAAATAATTAATTAATTAATTTTTTTTTACAGATGTTTCTCCCCTCTCACCAGACACCCCCTTCCCTATCTTGCCCCACCCCCACCCCAAGCAGTGTTGTCTATGTCCATCGGCTACACATACGGTTCTTTGGTTCACAGGAGGTTCTTTTCTTTAAGACTAGCTCCTTCCATTCCTTGCATAGGAAAGAATAAAAATAAAATACAAGGGTGGCCCACAGCTATGGGGTTCTACATGTATTTATTTGGTTGATTTATTTATGCATTGGGGCCACTGGCTGGCTGTTCTGGATACAATAGCGGGCAAGTCAGACCCAGCCCTACCCGTATGAAGAAAGACAGACTGTAAAACAATCAAACACACAATTAAGAATTTCTTTTGCTATTGTGATTGTGACCCCTGCAGTGGAGGAAAAGCACGCGATGTCTTGAATGACTTCACAAGAACACTGGCGTGGCTTGAGGGTGAGGAGGAACAATGAAGGGGTGTGAAGAGATGTTGCCGATGGCCCTGCAGTCTGCACAGGAAGGCCAGTATGGGGGAAGCACAGAACAGGCCAGGCGACCAGGTAGGGCCTTAGAGGTTGGGGGCCATACCTATCCATGCATGCCTGTTGTCCCTGCTCACTCTCTAACCGTTAGAGTCTGATGTCCCTGTTTGGGCGATAAACTATACAGCCACCCTACTTACAGGCCACATTAAGGGGTTTGTTCTAAGGACGACCGGCCTTCCATCCAGGAGGGCTGACCATCATCCCTCCCTCCTGCCTCGGAGCCTGCCGCGCTGCACGTCCAGGAGCAAAGCCCGCCAGCCGGAGCGGCTCCTGGTTACTTGAGCTGAATGATGTGCGAAGAGCCTTGCCTGGCAGCCCCTGGCCAGCAGGTCCGCTCCCTTCCTCCCAGGCAGACCCTGCTGCCCCCATGCCAGCTTCCCCTCTGCAGTATCTGGAGGTGAGAGCTTTTCCACTAGGTCTCGGGCCAAGCTCGGTTCTTGGCTCCAGGTTTGGTGAGCCTGTCTCCAGCTGTCCCCGCCCTCGGCCACTCCCCAAGGACTGGCTCCAGGACTTAGCTGTGACCTCACGATCTTTCCACTCTTGTTTTTTATTTTTGCTTCTTTATTTTCCTCCCTGTGTGACTCTCTCCCTCTGCTGGGCTTCTCTCTGTCTTGCCCTCCTTCTCTTTCTCTCTTTTCTCTAGGGCAACTTGGCATTACAGAAAAGCATTGCTTCAGGACGATGGAACGGGGTTCAAATGGTAGCTCTCTCACCCACTGGCTGTGTGTTAATGGACAGATGTGTCCTCCTCTCTGAGCTAATTTTGGGTTCAATGAAATGAGATGATCCTCCTAACTCCTGTTTCTCTGGGAGGTTGTGAGCTGAGCAGAAATTCACAAAGTGCTTCTGGGAAACAGTAGCTACTCCACAAATGGTAGTTAAGTCTTCCGTTCCTTTTGCACTTTCTTCTCCCCAACCTTCTGCATGTTTTGCTCACTTAACCACCAAGCAAGAAACAAAAGCCCTCCCTCTGGACCCCAACCACCTCGCTCTCTCAGCTCAGTCCACCACACCCAGACTTGAGTGCAGCCAACGGCGTCAGGAAAATGTGCGCCTGCTCGCTGCTAGCCCTGTGGCTGGAAGTCACGCTGGGCTTTTCTGCCCCGGGCTCCCCAGGGGGGCGTGGGAGGCATCTTCTGAGCTGTGATGCAGGCAGCAGAGTCTTTTGTGTTTTTCACCAACTGAAGGACAAGTGAGGCAGCCTTTCTACATTGTTCCTGGCCGACAGACTTCTTGTTGTC